ATTAGACAAGCTGAGAAACCTTTGCTCAACTGGACAACAGAGGTACCTTCCAATGCACACGTCCTGGAATCTACCAGATTGGAAGGCAGGCAATTACAACTGAGGAAAACACAACCAAGGGGTCCCTGGAGTGGGCCTGCCACGATGTCCTCTGGGGAGACGTGACCTCCCACCTGCTGAGAAGGCCCAAACCCTGGCCGAGGCCCACGCGTCCAGGCCTAGAATCCAGTGCCACTGGGCTGCGACAGGCAGCCCAGTCACCTAGCCAGGGACGGAGAGCTACACACAGCCGAGAGGAGTGGGGGTGCTGCTGGCTGTGGAGTATGAATTAGCTACTAACTCAAGCAAATGTCTTCTGAGCCTGTTTCGTTTGTACAATGGGTCTGATGCCTTCTTCCTTAGCAGCTGATGGTAAAGAGTCAATGAAACGAGCACAGATATGAAAGCACCTAGTGACCCCTCATCTTATTCAATGCAGGGAGCAGGGCAGTTTCCACGGGGGTGCTCTCTGCTGGTTTCCCAGCACGGGGAGGGTCCAGGCAAGGTGTTCTGGCTTATGGGTGCCCAGGCCCTGCTGGGGAGGGCGCTGCTTCCTCGCTCCTTCCCGGGCACAGGAAGGAGGGGATGTCCACTCCCCATCCTGGGAGAGGAAAGCTTGGGGACTCCTTAGCGCCTCTCTGCGCCTTCTTCCTCACTCCTGCCCAGAGGAGGTGGAGTCCTTCCCTCAGAGAAGGAACTGAGCATGCTCCATGCATGTAGGGGCAGGTCGCCCAGAGGATGTGGCTGCCAGCTGCCCTGAGAGCTGGACCTGGGCCCTGGGAGGCTCCTCACCCCTCCTCTGTCCTTGGAATGTACCCTCTCCCCACCGCTCCCCCGTGGGAGTTGTTTCCAAGGACGCAGCCTTAAGAGAGCAACGTGTTGCTGAGACCACCTGGAAGGTATGCATGGCCGAACCCCGTGAAGGCCTCAATATAAACTTTTAAGATTCTGGCGGAGATCTACCCGCCTTGCAGTCGCCCAAGATAAGCCTCCTCGGTACGTCCCCTCGCTTATTAACCCTGCCACCTGCCAATCTGGAGTGGCCTGCCTCCCTCTTCAGACTCTCCTTGCCCTCTGTGGACGGGGCCAGTTTGTGGATCAACGATGTGCCCTTCCGGCTCCCTCCTGCAGAGTGGCCGGTCCACAGGCACCGCTGGGCGCTGCCTGCAACTGTCCAGCTCTACCGGAGGCGTAGCTGTCCTCTTACTCCCGTGGTGACGTTTCGGCCAGTCTCCCTTCCTTCAGCCAGTCCGCACAGGGCTGGCACTGGTATCTCCTTTGACTGTCTCCTGGGCCTTACTTCACAAGCGTGAACTTGGGAGGTGGAAAAAGAGTTACTCGAAGCCTTTCTAAACCTAAACATTTTCCAAGGCAGGAATAGCCGTTCTCAAGTTATTTGAGATTTTTGAACTCTTTAAAGAAGCCAGACGCGGCAAGGATTCAGAGGCTAACTAAAAATCCATCTACTCTGCTCTTGCCGGAAACCATCGGCATGGCTCATCACCAGCTATGAGTGGCGCTATAGAAAACAAACGCACTGTTAGCGAGTTCAGTTTGCTGACAAAATACCTTTTAAGTATAGGATCCAACTTGGGAGCTGCGTCCTGGGGGTGAAGACATTGCCTCTGTGGGGCCCTTGGAGTGCCCTGAGGTCACCTCTCTCGCTGCGCTTACCACTCGGGGTTGGGACTGCCCATTTGCTGGTCTGTCTCCCTCTTTCTGCCCCACAAGGACTTGCGTTTTTTACACATGGTAGGTCTCAATACATGGATAAACAGATGCATAATTAACCGGAGGACTGTCACAGGCTCGAAGGAGGAAGCTCCAATGAGGCAGAGAGAGGCGAGAGAGCAGAGTACCTTCTCTCCCTTGGCAGAGGTGGCTCTTGCCTCAGCACCGAGCTCCCCTCTTGCCCACCTCCCCCC